TTTACAAATAAATTACAAGATATTTCGTATTTAAAATGTACAAAATTAAATTTTTGCTAAAATTAAGCTTTCCACAAAAAAATCGAATTTATATTCTTGTTTGTTCTGATTTGCGTTTACATACATATACTGTAATCGCGACCAAAACTGATAACGCTAATGTTGCGCCTATTATTGAGTTTTACATTTTCTGTTGTCAAACGATTTACTTTTTATTCGTATATCAATAATGATATCATGAATGATAATGTATACTTTTTGTTTATCGAACTATATATTGTTTATGTATGTACATATGTATGTACATATTCTTATATTTATATAAAGGTATGCATCATGCGCATATGCGTATACACTTGTTACTTCATGGGCACACCGCTGCAAGGAACTAATCATTTGCTAAATAGCAGTCGTTTAGTAGGTGCGTTTGACTCATTTCAAACTTTAAAGTGGATATACACACTTTTTTGCACGTAATATAATTTGTTGGGTGGATGACTAATCTTTTTTATTCACGCAGGCGATTGTGTAATTGAAAATGTGGAGGAAATTTACACTTTTTTGCGCTTGGAGCCTTTTACAAAGCGTCTCTTTAGTCCATTCGTGTAAGTGATAGGAAAATGCTACCCATTTTAAATATTTTACATACAAACATAGATATGTGCGTTAACTAAAAGAAAGTAGCATATTTGTTGTAGTGAAAAAGAAACAACGTTTTGTTGAAGAAGAATATGTTTGCTTTTTTTTTATTTTAATAATTTTTATCTTGGCAGTCCAACCCAGCAATGAAAGCAATCACAAGAGCTTGGCTACTCCATATTTACTCACTGAAATTGATTCAAAAATTATTGGTGGTTCGCCTGTTGCTATAACAAATGTGCCATGGCAAGTTTCGATACGCCTTAAGTCATACGAAATAGCCGGTTTTGGTCGTGGACACTTATGTGGAGGATCGGTTTTAACATCGCGCGTTATTATTTCAGCGGCGCATTGTACCGTCAAGTAAGTATAGATATTTTCTTTATAAAATCTATGCATATCTAAACATATATATATATATATATGTATGTATTATGTAAATATGTTAAAATCCTGCTCCTTTCTGCA